ATAGAACAAAACATAATAAAATAACTATGCTAATGTTCAATATCTCTGGTCTTTAGAGAAATGCAAATTTAAACAATGCTAATATTCCATCTTATACCAGAAAGAAATAAATACATAAAATAATAAAAAAATACCACTTTCCCACATCCCTGGGCGTCTTGTTGCAGCTTGGGTAATGAGAATGCATATTTGGTTCAAAAGGCTGAATAACTTTCTCCTGAAAACCAAAATTCCTTTTATTAGAAAATTCTGAGCATTAAACAGCATAAATCCAAATGATCATGACCAGATCCGTGCATAAGCCTGTAATGTAGTCCAACTTGAGTAAGTGCATACACATACAGGTACACAAACACAGCCACAAACACATAGCAAAAAATATATATTTTTGCACATTTCACTGTCTTGTAAACAATGGCATTTTGTAAGCTCTGTACCTTTTTAAAATAACACCCTGAAGCTCATGTATGCACGCTTTTCCTAGCCAATACAGAAGTCCAATTTATTATGAAAGAAGAGAGCGAGGGGAAAGACTTTCACCAATGGGTTTATTTAGAAGGAAACAAATTAAACAGAACTAGGGTGACAACAGTAGATGTCTAGTTATAAGTCACCTCCCTAAAGCCGATCAATATATTCATGAACAAATCAAATATACTTCGAGAAGAAAAACGCTACTGTAAACTCCCCAAAGGCTCCTGGTTTCACTTGTGCTTCTCCATCAGGCAAAATGTTCTTTCCTCAGCTACCTACACTATTTATTTTGCTTCCTGCCAATCTTGAAAACAATTCATCTTGTGTGTCGTTTCCTCATAAATGCTTCCTGGTGCTTGATTGCTTTGCCTGTATGGCATCTGACTTCAAACTGCCATTTTACCTTTATAAACATTTAGAACTGTCTCAGCATGAGAATACCCAAACGGCATACAAAAATAAGGCTGTAATTAGATCACCAGAGTATGTTTTACAGCGTACCTGGCTTTCTGCATATACCAGAAATCTCGCCTTACATCCAGAATTGCATTCCCAGTCTGAGTGCAGATGAAATTAACATCAGGGACTCCAGCAAAGAGGCCCTAGTATCAACAAGTTCAATTTATTATTATTGCAAAATAACGGTTCTTCCGTGATTAGTGAAATAGAAAACACATATTTAGAGACTTAAAAGGGGGGGGGGGAGCGAGGAGAAAAACAGAAAAAGGGGAGAAATATCAGTTACCACATGATTTTTGTAGTAAACAATAGAATATGACGTGCAATAGTGCAATTTTCCTTTGCTAGTCCAGCAATGCAAGTCTTAGTAGGAAGGCCACTGATGTCACTCTTCGCACTTCAGGGTTTAGGTACGTGCTTGCCGGGGGTTAGAGGTCCTGCCGGACTTCTGATTCTGAGCCGGATCGCTGACGCTAGAGTCACTTTTACTCAGCCCGAGATGACGGAGCTTCACGTCCCAGCGCTGTGAAACACAAGAGAGAAAACAGCCACACACAGGGATCACCAGGGTCACCATTTCCATGACTAATGGCTGGCTTAGTCTGCCCAGTCAGATCGTTAAGGCATTTTACTGCGTTTCCAAAGGTATAAATTTATCTACATCCTAGGGTAACAATGAACCTGACACCACAGAAACACAATGCTCTAATTTCAAAATGCACAAAGCTGTTCATCGCTAATGTAGTCAATGATGCTTTCATATCAAACCATAAAACTAAAATTTCTGTCTGTAAATGATCCAAGTATCTACCAATATCTGTGGGCATTTCCTGAGATAACATACAAATGGAAGTTACATAGAATATTTGAATAAAGGACACTGTTGATCGAACTCGGGTCCTTGCACTTGCGAGGCAGGCAGCGGAACCACTGAGCTAAATCCCTGGCCCTTTAATTCTCTCTTAAGACACAAAACAAGATAGCCTTTTAAAACCTGTTTGAGGACTAGGGATTTAGCTCAGTGGCGCCACACCTGCCTGGCAAGCACAAGGTCCTGAGTTCAATCTCTGGTACTACAAAAAAAAAAAAAGAAGGCAGGATGATGTCCCTAATATATTTTTATAATTAATAATATCTATTAAGTGTAGCAAAGAAAACAGACACTGATTCTGCCCTTATTCTGAGGTTTTTTTTGGTACTGGGGATCGAACTCAGGACCTTGCACTTGCAAGGCAGGTGGTGGAACCACTGAGCTAAACCCCTGGCACCCTCATTCTGAGCTTTATAAAGCAAGCATTGCAATGTTTTTAACAGCTAGTCACTTTGAGTAATATTTCATATTAACAATAACAATATTACTTGCATGTAGTATATGAAATTAAATGGAAATTATGTTATGGAAGTGTAGCTAAGTGAATAAGAATGATAGCTATAGTTCTCAAGATTCAATGACAGAAAACACTTGTAGATCTTGTTAAAAATGTAGGCCAGGGATTTACCTCAGCGGTTCTGCCGCCTTTCCTCATAAGTGCGAGGTCCTGAGTTCGATCCCCGGTACCAAAAAAAAGAAATGTAAATTCCTACTCTGTAGGCCTGGGATGGGGACCTGGATTTTCACAGCTGACAGGTCCCATGTAGCAGCCCTGTTGCTGGCCCAGGACCACACTTCAAGTAGAAAGATGCTAATATCAGATGGCCCAAGTTCAAATTCTAACTCCATAATTTACCCTGCAACATTTCTTGAACAGATTTGTTTTCATGATTTCTACATTGGAATCAATAATAAAATCTACTTATATGATTGCTCTGAAGATTGAAGAAAAATGAATAAAGTGTATAATATACTATTTTTCTATTACTGAAAGTCTATTTTAGCACATTTTATTCCACAATCTTATTGTTTCCATTTTCAAAAACAATCTGATTTTCCCCAAGGTAATCCAAATAGCTTGGTTTGAACAATCTGCTATAAAAGAGACTTAAGTAAACTATCATTTTCATGGAAAAACCATAAAAATGTCTTCAAGTACTTGACCTATCTACTTACAGCAAAATACAGCTGAGAAAAGCAACTTTGATTAAATAAACGACTAACATCCTCCATAAAATTATTTTTTACATTCTCCAGTTGACTAGAAAGCTGAAATAAGGATCTCAATAATTCTGGCCAAAGAAAGGTTTTTCTATCCAAACACTTTGGCCCTGAGTACGTACATACAAATTAAAAATTGTTCCAGCCATTAGTTTATGTCTTCCCATTATTATGTTTAAATCCAGACTGAGAATGTAAATGATTTCACAGTAACTGTGAGTCCCCTACAGAAAACAATGGGAAACATGTCCACTTACTGAAAAACAAGACAAACAAGCCATGTGTCCCGCTGACAACACAAGCAGTGAAGCTTGTTGCATGCTCTGCAGCTAAGATTCTGAAAGCTCTTCCAACTGATACAGGAATTTAGGACAAATTCCTGTTCTGCATTAGCAAGTAGAAAACCAAATTAAAAGGACAGTAAGACAGTCCAACATCCCAAAGAAGAGCCACTTCTTTAATAAACACCAAACTAACTGAAGAGGGATGGAAATAGAGAATGCCCACGAGTCTGCACTTACAACGCAGTACATTTTAATAAATATACTGGGGGGGGGGGTGAGGAACTTACTGGCGACAGTTTCTCCCTCCAAAGTAATGCCCTCTACATTTCTATAGGTCACTTAATTTCAAATGTCGGCTGTGTCAAGTGCCAGATGTATAAAATCAACTGCCCAAGGGTGTTTAACTTATCCCGTAAATGTTTCCCAACCCTTCAAACTGGCAGAGGGAAGAGGATGTATTATGTTTGGTGCAGTTCCCACTCCTACCCCACTCGGAACACACATCCTTTGAGTTTCTTTATCCTGCGTGCACTTCCCCCAACATTCTTTCCCTTAAACAGATTCACTCAGTGCAGTAAGAATGAAACCTTCGATAAGGTAGTAATTTACTACTTGATTTTTGTTAATGTATGTCCAGAATCCAAGAGTGAATGGATTAAAAATAAAGCTACATAATTGTTCTAAGGATGTAATTTGGTCAGATCTCTTATATAGAGATATTGTGGCTGCCCCTTGTCTATAGGAATTGGTGCCTGTGCATCGGACTTTTTCCCTACCCACTGTTTATTTTCCCCTTCTCACAGAAGTATAATTTGTTCAAGGAAACAATACACCTAGCTTTAAAAACAAAACCAAAAAATATGTCATTTCCTAGCCTCCTTTGCAGCTAAGAATGGCTGCAACACTTAGGCTCTGCCCAGAACTCCTAAGAAAAAGTTGCTAGATGGAACTCTTGGAAATCCCTTTTCCCTTCCCTTCTTTCTGCCTGAAGTTAAGTGGAATGTTGGCCGTAGAGCAGCCTTCTTCTGACCTCCAAGGAAACATGAGGACAAAAGCGGTAACTCACAAACTGACAGAGTAATACTCTATCAGAAGTTACAGTCCTATAATGTAAAAACCACCCTATTAGAACTAGACAAACTACTGCTAGACTTATTATAAGAAGTCCGAGCAACTATATTTGGATCCTGATATGCATACAGGGAACTCATTCCTTGAAACAAAATAAGCATTAATGAAGGGCTGGGAATTTAGCTCAGTGGTGTCACTGCCTGCCTCAAAAGCGCAAGGTCCTGAGCTCAATCCCCAGTACCAAAAAAACAAAAACAAAAAACAAAAACCAAAAGTTTCCAAAGCATTAACGATAAACTCAGTTCATGGAGTATTATGTATGAAAATATACATAGTCTCATGTAGTTGAGGGTAGTTATTTAAGTGACAGTTGGCTGTATTCTGCTTTTGCTTTCTCTGTACTGTATTACTTTGAATGAAATATAGGTATGGGCTTACCTTTACTTTTTTACCAAGTCGATCTTTCCATTTCTCTGCTATGGAGCCTTCCACTAAGAGTAATCTGCATTTTTTTAAACAAGCAATCAGTTTTAAAAAATTAAAGCATATTATTGAAAAATACAAGGAATCAATGCCAAAAAAACCTTAATATGTTTATTCTAGAATAGAAGAACTAAGTTTAAAAGCAGTAACTTTTAGTAATTTGGAAATCAAGGACTCTTTTAAGGAACAAATGAAGCTATAATCTCTCTCTCTCTCTCTCTCTCTCTCTCTCTGGGAAAATGCATACCTCTAAGTTGTACATGCATAGTCTTCTACTCAATATATGAAGTTGAGAGATTCAATTAAAGCCCTCCTGTAATCTTCGAGAAAACAGAAAGATAATGTAAGATCTTACCACAGTAAGATCTCTACCGAGAAATGCAGTGGGTGGATAGGCAAAGAAATTATTCTTAAGGCATGAATTACCTGGAGCGTTCCTCGTCTTCATAGCCCATGATGATATATTCCTCATTAACGTTAAGTGGGGGACACAGGCAGCCAGAGCTGGTGTGGAGGTTGACAGTGTCCCTTGGGATGTTCACCAGAGACGCCTTTAGAATCTCCTTCACCTCCACTACTGCAGTCACATCATGGCACTTAGTCTTCAACTCTTTAACTTTAGCCCGAATGACTGCAATAAAAGACAGCATAGCTGGTTTAGTAAAATACACACCCCCATTCATGAAAGATGGGTAAGCTTCTTTCTAGTCAACTCCTGTCCACTTAATGTTCACTGATTGGAGGGCCAGGGATTTAGCTCAGTGGTTCACCCGCCTGCCTCGCAAGCGCAAGGACCCGAGTTTGATCCCTGGTACCAAAAAAAAAAAGACTCATACAATGTTCACTGATTGGAGAGGAAAAGTCAACCACGTATTTTTGCCTTAGATGTTAGTGAGTAAAAAACGAAGCCGCATACTTCCCCGCCAACGCTCAGCCCAGTCCCTTTCCAATTTGTGTGTCTGTGTATGCATGAGTTTCATTACGAGAAATCCACTTAGATAATCAAAGACTGAATATTTTAATTTTCCTCCAAAATTTCATTTTGGTTTCAGTGTGATATCTTTTTGTTTGTTTATTTGTTTGTTTGTTTTTTTCAGTGTGCTATCTTTAATACTCTCCTTCAGTTATACGAAATCTTCCTCTTGAATAGAAGTTATCACCACTGGACCTGTTCCCTCCATCTGCTTCAAAGTCACAGCTCCATCCACCGTGACCGAGTGTGTTCTAACAGTGCTTGCACCCTGCCTGGCTGGACGCACTCAGTTCGTCCTCCAAGAGTCAACTTCACTTCGCAATATAAAGATAAATTGGCTTCAGTTGCAAAGTCAAAATATTTGACTTAGAATCCAGGGAGAAACAGTACTGCTACTTTTCTGTATCTCTCCTTTGGACTTCTGGTAAATGAACTTTTTTGTTTTGTTTTGTTTGTTTTTGGTACTGGGGATCGAACTCGGGTCCTTGCACTTGTGAGGCAAGCAGCGAAACCACTGAGCTAAATCCCCCGCCCAAATGAACTTTTTAAAGAAAAATTTTTTTTCAATATTAAGAAAGAAGTAAAAATGTCCATTAGCAAGAAGTCAATAGCAGTGGCTCGGGAACCCTCACTGCAGCAATTCAATATCCACAGATGTTACACAGAGGAAAACACAATTTACCCAAATGAATACACTTTTTGAAAGCTTCTTATGTATGAATCTGCAGATCACTTTGTCTGCAGACCTCTCATGTGTTTTAGGAGTTTGAGACTTTGTAAAAAGGATTAGAAAAAGTACTCCACGAAAGTAGTTAAGTCATTTTTCTATCACTGCATCAACTCCATCACAGAAACATAATATTCCACCAGTACAACATGCACATGACAGAAATTAAACTATGGATTCATTTTTAAATTGTTATGATAAAAACGTATTTTTGCTTCATAGGTATTTCAGTCTAGAAAACTAGTTGCCTTAAGAATGAGAACTTGTAGCAAACAAAATATAACTGCCTAGCTGTCCCTGCCTGTTTGGTTTTGCAAGTGGAGTCCTTTCCTATTGACCTTCTCTAGATTCTGTATTTTATTTTATTTGGCGGGGAGGGGACCTTGCACTTGCGAGGCTGGCAGTGGAACCACTGAGCTAAATCCCCAGCCCTAGATTCTGTATTTTAATAAGAGATAAGATTGTTCATTTTGAAACGTCATTTGGGAGAATCAAATGATAAATTCTTAACCCTGGCTAGCAGACATTTTTTTGTGTCCTGGCTTAAATGAATGTGTTTCACAGCATCCATCAACCACTAGAGATTAGTGAACTGTGTAAATGTTCTCAAACTAATGATTTATTTACCCAATGTGTCTACTATTTTTATTAGAAATTTTTAACACATGTACCCACTCCAAAATAAATATCTCTGTCTAAGACCTACTTTATTATTCAAGTAATTTCATTTAACTTCTAGTTTTTTAAAAACTAAATCTGAATGAGGCAAAGGTTTTATCTGAAATATTCAATTATTCCAACCCTTACTTTGTTTCTCAATAGATACATGCAAATATATAAAATAAAAATCAAATTATTTTCCAGGTAAAAATGTACTTCCCCTTCAGATTTTCCTTCTAGTCCATCATTTGAGTGCCTGCCCCCCCCCCCCGAAGAATGTGCAAGTCCCAGACATGTGACAATCCTTAAATGATAGGAAACATGACTGTTTGGCTATAAAAATAATTTCTTCCTTTCTCATTTTATTTTACAATATTCCCTTAGCTACCTTCTCTAAGGTCTTCTCTTTCCAGTGACTTATAACCACTGATATTTTAACTTTTAACAAAAATAGCAGTACCAACCACTACAACATTAAAGGGGATGAATAAAATAAAATTTAATAGTAAGTTAAGTAAAATACAAATTACTAAATTTCTCTGACATAGAATTATGTTTGAACTTTGAACTGAAAAGTTCACATAGCATTCTTCAATCTGAAAAAGCTAATCTCCTGGAAATTAAGAGCTTTCTTTTCCCTGAGGTTTCACACAGCAATTTGCCTAAGGAACAGGTCTCCTGTTAAGCAGCCAGGCATCTTACTTCTTCAGTATATGTAACCTTTCCACCTTGGAAGGTTGTGTCCATTACTGACTAAGAGGGGCAAGGTTCCTCTTAAAATGAGTAGTAAGCCAAATAAATAAAAATTGAGCCCAGGGCTGGGGATTTAGCTCAGTGGCACTGCGCCTGCCTTGCAAGCTTAAGGTCCTGAGTTTGATCCCCAGTACGGGGCAGGGCAGGGGGGGATCGATCCTATTGAAGAAAACTTGGGAAATTAGTGGCATTTGTTTTAAAGAGATTTAATTATACCAAGAATTTTCTACTTTATATTTTTTAATACACAGTATTTCCAAAGACATCCAAGATTACTCTTACAGTCTTATCCATTTCTCTTTCCAATTCCCAAAAGTGCAGAAGTAGAAATAAATCTGCCCTGTGTCCTATATCTTCTAAAATAGGCTATACAAACACAATGAAATGTTCATTTAATGATAAAGTTCACTTTATAAGTCTGTTTGACTGCCACGCTCACTCAGAGTCAGCATCAATGGTCTTCTAAAGAGAGTAATGAGACCTTCATTAACCTCATAGATACAGGCTGAGCATTCCTAATCCAAAAACCTAACACCAGACACATTCTGAGCATCAGTTACACCAGAGGGAGAAAATGCTACACCTGACCTTATGTGCTGGGTCATAGTCAAAACTCAGGGGCATAAAAATATTGTATAAAATTACCTTTGGGCAATACGTATAAGGTCTCTATAAAACATAAATATATTCTGTGTTTAAACTTGGGTCCCAAACCCAAGATGTCTCATTACATATAAGTAAAACTTCCAAAATCTGATATCCAAAATACTTCTAGTTTTAATCATATTGAATCAGGGATACTCAACTTGTACTGCTAGGAAAAAAAAAAATCCAAAAACTGCCTATGGAATATAGCAAGTGAAACGTGAAAATATCTATAGAATACAGTAAATCCTGACTTGTTCCATATTTTATCAACTGGAAAATTAGTAATTGCCCCTTCTAAAAATGATGACAATTGACTTATAACACGGAAGCCCACTCGTACCCAAAAGTACATTGTGAACAATTAAAGAAGGGATAACTTAATGTTCAATATTCATTGGTAAATTCATGGTAATGCAGCTCATGGAGGGCTGAGAAAATTAGACAGTGTATGGAGACCACCCAGCGCTGACACACTCAGCAGGCTTTTCATCCTCCAAAGTTACAGCTACATTCAGGTTAGTAACTCTCCAGTTAATATTATGTTTATCAGAATATCATATTGTTGGGCCAAGCTAGGTAACAAAACATCTCCTCAACTGAACGCTAACCACTTCTATTAAGTGTTACTTTGCAAATCTGTTGATATTCTCCTTGGGCTAAACTGACTGAAGAAACCCAGTTGAGCCTCTTGACCAAACTCACACAATCTAGCGTACGCCCATGGAGCTCAGCGGACTGCTGCAAATACAAGCTCAGGTCTTCCTCAGTCACCCAGGTAGGGAAGAGCCCATCTGCCTGGAAATTTAACTTAACCTCTGCGCACTGAAGGGCATGGCTCTAACACGGCAACTGCTGCCGGAGAGACTCAGAATCCAGCATCTGTTAAGAGCCTTGCCCATGTGAACCATTTTAATTGACTTAAACAAGGTTTTTTTTTTTGGGGGGGGGTGGGTCCAGGGCCCTTACACTGAGCTACATCTCCAACTCTTTATTCTATTTTTTATTTTGAGGCAGGGTCTCACTAAGTCACTAAATTTCCCGGGCTGGACTTGAGCTTGCAGTCTTCCTGGCTCAGCCTTCCAGAGTACTAGGATCACTCAGGCGTGTGCCACATAGCTTAAGCCATATTCTTAAATTGCTATACTCATTTATATGCATACAAGCGTGCACATGCAGCACGCACACGCACACACCATTCTTTACACAAGTGTGCTTACCATAGTTGTAATTGTTCCGGAAATAGGTCTTCTGTGTAGCTCTGATAGGCTTACATTTGCAGCGTTCTGAAAAAATAGAATGCTAGGATAAGTGTATTCGAAGCAAGGAGTGATTTTTGGGGCCTTAAGGCCAATCTGATTTTCACTGTAATAAATTTGTTTTCATTTAAACTTTTACTGTATTTTTCAGTCATATCTCAGAAAATAGAAAATACATGATTACCTCAGAAAATAGTTGATTATATGTAGAGTTTTTCCTAAAACAGTATCCCTAAAAAAGCGCCTTTAAAAATCCAATGGTGTTTTATCTGTTGTGACACAGAAAAGGGAATAAAGAACAAACGAGTCTGAGAAGAACAGCTGATAGAAGTTGTGTTGAAACAGTGTTTTATGTTAGCATGGGAACAAATAATAAAAAGCTGAAGCTTTTGCTGACCACTTGCGATTGCATTTTCTAATTAAAACAAATCTTATTTCAGTTGAACCTGGAAATCAGCAGCAGCAGCCTCAAGAAGGCTGGCGTCTTCCCGCAGGTGGGAGGCTGTAGAAAGAAGCATGTACCCCAGGAGGGTATCCCAGCAGAAGGCAGGGTTTCTCACGCTACACACAGCACCTCCCCTCCCTTGCTCTATGTCTCATTTTTTAAATGAGATCTCTATAAAGATCCCAATCCCATAAGCAATGGGCAATATCAATGCTTGTTGCTATTTTGAAGGAGGCTGGCTACTCTAAAAGTAACTTTCTTACTAGCAAAAGTAACTTTCCATTTAAAAGAAAGTGGAATGTTACCTAATTCTTGGCTTCTCATATACATAGCTGTTCTATTTTATACCAAGATGTTATAGTTATACACATTTTTGAAGATATTCTTAAGATGAGAATATTTCTGAAGAAATAAATGCTTTAGTCTTTGACTTACAATTTATCCTCCTATAGATATGGACTTGTTGTTTTTGTATTTAAAAATAAATACCAAAAATAACACCTGTTAGGGCTGGGGATTTAGCTCAGTGGTTCTGCCGCCTTCCTCGCAAGTACAAGGACCCGAGTTCGATCCCCAGTACCGAAAAAAAAAAAAAAAAAAAAACTGTTGGATTTAGCTCAGTGGTTCTGCCACCTGCCCTGCAAGCGCAAGGACCTGAGTTTGATCCCCGGTACCAAAAATAATAATAATAATAATAATAATAATACCTGTAGCCAGGCGTTGGTGCCACACATCTGTAATACCAGCACTCTGAGAGGCTGAGGCAGGAGAACTGCAAGTCTGAATTCAGCCTGGGCAACTTAGCAAGACACTGTTTCAAATTAAAAATTTTTTTTAAAAAGCTGGGCATATGGATAGGGCACTGATTTAGCTCAGTGGTTCCACCACCTGCCTCGCAAGCACAAGGTCCCGAGTTTGATCTCCAGTATCAAAAAAAAAAAAAAAGGCTGGGGATAGAGCTCAGTGCAATGGCTCTACATTCAACCAATGCCTCCAAACAACAACAATAATAATACACGCAGGGCTGAGGATGTAGCTCAATGTCAGAGCTCTTGCCTGGCATGTGTGAGGCTCTGGGATTGATCCCAGCACCACAAAATGAATAAATAAAACAGTAACACACACAGAAAAATCAACTACACAATTTTAATTCTTCAGAAATTTACCCACAATCTAATAATAAAGTCTTTTGGCAAAAAAAAAATATAGCAACTGTCAATGAACTTAATCTAATTTGGTGTTGCTATTCATACAACTTTGCTTCAAGCATAAACAAATGGATTCCATAAAATTTCGCAGGCAGAGATTCTTTTAAAATTATATGTAATTTAGGAAGATTTCACAAAGGTATTCACATAGCTATGTATACAATTACGTCTATATAGATACGGTTTTGCCTCACAGCTAATGACCTAAGCAGTTATGGTCTTGAGACCAACTTTGGCATAACTGCAATGCACTCACTGTGCCTGCCGCTGTCTCAGGGGCAGTGGCAGGCTATACATATGCTGTTTATGGGGCCCTTTCTATGCCCTGGTCCTCAGCTATTGCCACAAGCAAGAACCTATCTAATTCATGAAAGTAACAGTTCAAGAAATTAACAGAGCACTAAGGAAGAGTAGAATTTTATATCTACCAAGTTCAAATGTGGTAGAACTTCCTCTCATTTATTTATGCTCACTCAACCCAAACACATCATCTCTGAAGGCATTCATGAAAAATGTATCTTAGATCAACAGATCTGAAGCATTATTCTTCTTCTAAATTATGCTTACACATTACACATGCATCATTCATTTCATTTCGTGTGTCTTGTCACCCTAAATAGACTGCAACAAGTCTATTTTTTCTTTACCACCGAGAATTGATTTCCTGATGTTCAGACTTTTCACTAGGCCAACAGCATTACCATCATTCCTAGTTTCACTTGACTTCTCCCAGCATGCCCATAGCCCCACGTGTTTAAGTTTTGTGTCCACAGTAGCAAAATGACTGAACTTTACACAAAAATTATTAGACATTGATTTTCTTATACTCCACTGTTGAGAAGAAAAGGTTACAAAGGAATTTGAGTCTACCGTGGTGCTTATCTAAGAGAAAAAAATATATTTAAAAAGTTAAAGGAGCAGCTTTGATAAAATAGACTCAGTAGTGACAAAGACAGGAACAGTCTTAACGTTAGCAATTCACCTCGCAGTCTAGAATTAGATGTGACACCCTCAGTTGTGGAACAGAGTGTATCGCTACACTGTGGAGCAACCATGATGTAGCCAGGACCCTGTCTCAGGCAGGTCTTCAACCCCTCCATCTCTTGCTCAATTCTTTCAGCCACTCTCCTAGCATTACTGATTTGCTACATACATCTCTGCTTATGAAGCTGAAGACTGTTTATTATCCTAATACAATTATCAGTTTATCACCTTTGTGCAGATTAGAAAAATTAGAGACCAGCATCCCACGGAACTCAGTCTACACTGGGGAGCTGGCTCTGTCACACTGCCTTGCAGGAGGATGAGGTGGCTCACGGAATCCACCCGAGGCTCCTGCTGAGCCTACTTCTGGAGGGAAAGAACACATTGCTCTTTGTTCCCCATAGTATTAGTCTCATTTAGGGCTGGGGATTTGGCTCAGAGGCACCGTGCCTGCCTTGCAAGCACAAGGTCCTGAGTTTGATCCCCAGTACTGCAAAAAAGAAAAAATACTAGTCTCATTTATTAAAAACACAAGGATAATAGTATTTTTGATACAGTTTATAAGATCTCAAGAATTCTAAATACCTACAATTCCGAATTGTGATACTGGATCTTCACGGACCGCCCCAGACTTGTGACACAGCTTCCTAATGAGCCCAGGCCCTGGCGTGCTGGAAACTGAATGCTTTCGATCTCATCCAGAGTTGTAAGACTAATCAACCTCACCTGACTCCAGAGGCGCCATAACCTTTTATGTACCATGACTTTGGTGGAATACTACCTTGGGGTGGGTCTTTTTCTAAGTTTCTAGGGAAAGATTTGAAGTCTGGACTCAGGATTTATTGTCAAAAAGTAGGAGATGGAATACAATTCCATTTGTGTTAAATTTCTATTGCTATTCTTTGGCCCTTTCCAATCTGATTAGAGTTTACATAGTTTTAATTTGTGCCAAACACGCTGTCTTGGCATTCGACTTGAGACCTACCTGTGCTCCTTCCCTCCATTTTAATACACATAGGAACAGACCACAATTTAAAAAAAAAATTTTAATATAAATGTTTGTGATTTGAAGATCTATATCCTTAACTCTGACCTTATTGAGATCCATGTCTACATAATCAACTGCCTAAAGAGGTATCAGGAGTATGTTCTTAAGTAATTTTTTTTTTTGGTACCAGGGATCGATGTTCTTAAGTAATTTTAAACATCTGCTAACATCTATCACACCACAAAATTGTCTTTCTTCTGTTGAAATGATAGCGTCCCCTGACTCCTCAACCCCAGGATATGTGCGCTCCTCTAAATATGAGATGGAAAAGGGAAAGAAAACATTTGTTGTGCCCTTTAAGTCACTCACATAACAATTCATTCAGTCTCCTAATATTTATGGGGCATCTGGTACATTCACGGCTTTGTAATAGGCATGCAGGACACACAATGAACAATGCAGACAGCCCAGAAGAGGATACAAACTTTGAATGAGTAATTACAAAATAATTTATTGTCATGTGCAGTATGTGCTATAAAAAAGTGTTTAATGAGAACATATAACTTAAACATATAACGTAACATAAACATAGACAGTGTGTAATGAGAACATATAACTTATGACCTAAACTGGTCTGGCCTGCACTGTCCTCTGAGGAAATGATACTTAAGCTTCAAACCTAGACGATGAGTTACGTTCATCTAGGCAGGAGCTACATCTTGATATATAAACTAGAGAAGAAGGGCCGGGGATTTAGCTCAGTGGTTTTGCCACCTGCTGCGCAAGCACAAGGACCCGAGTTCGATCCCTGGTACCAAAAAAATAAATAAAATAGAGAAGATAAAGTCCACAAAGGACACTGAGAAGGAGCTGCTAGTGATGTGAAAGGAAAAACAGGAGGGTATGGAGTTAAAAGGGCTGGAAATCCAAAGGGCATTTCAAAGGGAAAAGGTGGGCCAAACTGTGTTAAATGACCCCAACCTCAACTTAGATCACTCATAAAATGGGGATCCTTGGGGCCAGGGATTTAGCTCAGTGGCACCACGCCTGTCTCACAAGCACAAGGTCCTCAGTTGGATCCCTGGTACTGCAATAAAATAAAATAAAATGGGGCTCCATTGAGTTTAATTAGCAACGAGATGGCAGGACCCAGAGCAAAAGGAAGAGCAAGACCTTGAAAGCCTGGACCCTTCATCCACTATGATGGAGGAAAGGAAAGAGGGACGGATGCTGACAGGGCTATAAACTTGTTGCTGGGAGGAGGAGGGAGCTCCTTCCAACAGCTTTTACTTTCTCACTGCAGGATGCAATGAGCTCGTCTGCTATGCAGAATGAGGAGGTGTGAAAGCCAAGACGTGGTGGTTTGCAGAGAGAAAGGTACTAAGCAGTTATTTTGAGCAGA